AGGCTGCATTTATTTGATTGAAAATACAGTTAAAACAGTGATATTGTGAAATATTGTTACCATTTAAAAAAACAGTTTTCTATTTTAAAATATTTAAAAAAAATTATTCCTGTGATGCAAAGCAGAATTTTCAGCATCATTACTCCAGTCTTCAGTGTCACATGATCTTCAGAAATCATTCTAATATGCTGATTAGCTACTCAAGAAACATTTCTGATTATTATCAATGTTGAAAATAGTTTTGCCGCTTAATATTTTTGTTGAAACTGTGATACACTTACTTTGAGATGAATGTTCTTTTCAACTTTCTATTCATCAAAGTGATTTGAAAAAAAGAAAAAAAAGTATCACAAAAACATTAGGCAGCAAAAACTGTTTTCAACACCGATAATAAGAACCACCCACCCTTTGTTGCGCTTTCACATTTGCAGTATTTTGTTACTTGCTGTGAAATATACAATGAAAATGAAACATTAATATATGACCTCTTTAAATGCTTTATTCCACCGTTTATTTCCTAGAGAGAGCAAAAGAGGTGTTCTGGATGAGATGTGTCTGTACTCACTGCTGGAGGAAGAAGACATGCGGCGCTGGGCAGGGGCCGGTGTGGAGGTGCTGGGTGGAGGAGGAGGAGGAGGAGGAGGAGGTGGGGGCAGCTCTGAGGGAAGAGGTGGAGGAGGAGGTGGAGTCGGGATGGAGGGTGGAGGAGGAGGAAGGGGCAGATCCTCTGTGTTTCCCGTCCCGTTCTCAGGAGCAGGCGCCGTGTCTGACGCTTCCTCCAACAGTGCAGAGCCCTGTCGAGAGAACAGGTAACAGTGCGGCAGATTTCAACGTTTAAATATTTAGTACTATTGCAAAGTGACAGATCACCCAACAATGAAGATGATCTCATCATTTGCTCAAACTCACGCAATCCTGGATGTTTATGACTTTCTTTCTTCAGAACCTCTCTGTGAGTCCACATGTTGCAAGTGAATTAAGCGGCAGATTGTTGAAGCTCCAAAAAACAATAAGTGTGTGTAAGAAAAACACTATTATAAACTTAGAATATATGTGACCCTGGAGCACAAAACCAGTCTTAAGTCGCTGGGGTATATTTGTAGCAATAGCCAAAAAAACATTGTATGTGTCAAAATGATAGATTTTTCCTTTATGCCAAAAATCATTAGAATATTAAGTAAAGATCATGTTCCATGAAGATATTTTGTAAATTTCCTACCGTAAATAAATATATCATAACTTAATTTTTGATTAGTAATATGCATTGCTAAGAACTTCATTTGGACAACTTTAAAGGCGATTTTCTCAATATTTTGATTTTTTTGCACCCTCAGATTCCAGATATTCAAATAGTTGTATCTCGGCCAAATATTGTCCTATATGAACCATACATCAATGGAAAGCTTATTTATTCAGATGATGTATAAATCTCAATTTAAAAAAATTGACCCTTATGACT